GTTATATATATATATATATATAGTTATATATAACTTCTTCCATATATATATGATAAAAACAAGAAAGTAACAATAGTAACTGGTAAGAGTTTCTATTACGTCCTACTGAAGTTAGTAAGACGTGAAAGTCCGTATGGGTTTATCCCGGTAACATGATATAGACTGAGAAAGTCAGTTTTTTGAATTGTAACGTTACTAACGTTAAAATACTCATCGTCGTTAGTAGATTTAGATCGATGTATAGAGGAATAACACGTTAAAGCAAGGCAGCATATCTATGCGAAATAATGGACCTCTATAATAATATAATATAATGAATAATAAAAGGATAATGGAACACCGCGAGCGTCTAAATTGGTCCATTGTTGAGGTGTTTGGTATTATTTATGTTTTAAAATAATATCCACGATATACGACGATCGTGAGAATCGTTAGCGTGACGGAGTCTCATGGTCAATGCAAAACCATAATTTCGTTATTATTTTATCTATGCATCTGTACGTGTGTGTGCTAGCTCGTTATAGCGTGAGCCTAAAGGGAAAGAGCCCCGGCTTATACTGTGAATGCTGTAAAACAATATAAATGTATGAAGACAAACCAAGATGTTTTATATCTTAACAGACCTAAGTCAAATAAAATTATATGAGAAAGCTGTAGGTTGGTAACAATTATCACGCCCATTAGCACTTTTGACATCGGTTCAATATGTAATTTCTGTTATGGCACACGTTAGCAAGATTGTGGGACATGGTAATGTTCGCAGTGGATTCATTTCTAACAGTGTAACATTAGGGTTTAGTGTGTCTCATGTCTCGGATCGTCTGTATCGTGTGACGTTTCTTAATGGATTTCTAGATGAGGGCCGCGTTAACGAAGCTCCGGCATGAAGCTCCCGAGCTGCATTTTTTCTACTGTGAATGCTACTCTTAGTACTCTATTGTTACTATTGGCGCTACAAGTGAAATAAAAAGAAGCTCTAAGATGATCGTGACGTTACGTTATATTGATTGATGATCATAGGGAATTTAACACTATGAAGGTTGATGACCTGCCTCGAGTACATATGGACTTTATGTATATCCATATCGTAAGCACGGCGATCATAGAAAAATAGGCAAGGTAATACATGAATGAACCAATCATAAATTAACCAACGTTTATCATTGTAACAATAGAACTAATCAAGGAAGCATGATTAAATAAAATTATTACGTGGTTAGTGTGCTCCATTTGTTGCCGATTAAATCTAAGCAATTATATAACGGTTGGTAATCATAGTCATGATGCGGTTTGTGTTTCTACTAGGCCTCCAATATTGTAGGTCTAGTAAATGCTAGAGTCGTTCTTCTTTTAAACCCCGAACTCCCTGAATTGACGTTTATTGGATCCAAGCCCTACGTAAGCCTAATGAGGAGTTTTGTGTACGTCATATATCGAGTAGGTCTTATGTATCGTCCGGTACCAGCAAAAAAGAAAAGAGAAACCTCAATTGTTTTGGATGAAGTCGTAAATAACTAACGACTGGGGGTAGATTTATTATAGCGTTTGCCGGCATGAGTTCCAAAAATTTGGTTGTGAGCAAGGCACTCTTTGAAAGTTCATCTTATTAAGTTAATATTACTGGCATGAGCTAATTTTTTTTGCTTAAAAAATATCGCTTCGTCAACCGTCTACGAAATTTTCGCAAACAATGCTTGAATTTTCATCGGTGATTTGCACGAGGTATACAGCATTAGCCTCTGTATTTAACGGCTAAGCTAAAGGACACGTTGTGACCCGGGCTGGAGTCCGTGTGTAGACAAATCCGGTTCGTTTCATGCTGGAAGCCACACAATTGATACAATGCCTCCAAAAAAGTAAACAAGCGCTGGTTAACATGATGGCGGTGTTCTGCTCAAGAGGTAAACGCAGGACAAGATATAAAGGGAGTCATTGCGGAGCCATCAATAAAAAAAAATTAAGATAACTGATGAAGGTTTGTAATAAGCAAAGTAAAGAGAAATTACTAGTATGATAGCAAACAAAACAGTTCCTTACGAAGTGTCTTACAACGGAAGGACGATATTAAGGTTATTCCCATATGTAAACCAGGGACAGACACTCATTCTCTTCGGACATACAAGTGTACCATCTGTATCCCCTGCTAAACATACTAATGTAAGCGAAGGTACGTATGAAGCTGCCTATATGTGGAGAACTCAGGATTTCGGTGCTTTGAGGCGCACCGGCATCCATGTTCGTAGGGTTAACATACTAGCATTAAACCTATATTTATTATCGATCCCTAAATCGAGCCTACGAGCTGAAAAATATGCCGTACTCGCCGTAGTACAACTAGCTAGATCGACTGAGCGCCGCATCTTAAATTCTGTACTGTGATTAATCCTTTGGTTAATATACAATACATTCGTTCATTTTAACTGATCACTCTCGTATACCTGAGTGTTGTCCAATTAAGATTGTACTGTGATGGTAAACACATTTGTTGTTGCGCGAAGCGACGCTAGAGAATCGGTATTACTGCTTTTCCGTGTTTCTCAAGAGAAAAAAGTTTCGTCTTATTTACGATTCAACATGCTTTTACCTTCTTTATGTATTATCATCTCTATGTATGTAAAAATGCTCGAGCCTAAATAAAATAGATGGAAATCAATATACAAACATACCGTGTAATGGTGTTACCTTAGGAGCAATAGTTCATGCCAGGAATTTCTGTGTGTGCCCATAGTTACTTGAAATTATAAGCTATAGATAATCGGTGCAGCGTTACGTGAGATAGGAAATTTATATACAATAAGAAAATGTAACTGCGCATTTCTTCGGCACTCTTGAGTGCTTTTCTGTTTGCACATTTCTGCTAAATACGCTAGAACTATAGGAAGAACTATGAGGAGATGGAACCTGCGATTTGTTTGACGAAAAATTATGCGAAGTGCTCAATTTGTTCGTAAAACTCAACAAACGTAACGTAGGGAAGCAATAAATAGCAGTGTTAAACGGCGGATTTCTGAACCATGCGCTCTGTCACTCTACGCGAACTAGTTTCTACTGTTTCACAAGTGTCAGAAAGTACGACTTTCAAGATGGCTATTCAGGTTTCTAGTGTAGGTGAAAAAAGGGCTAGGAACTAGTACGTGTGAGAACATTAATAGAGGCCGTGAATTACTAAACTTGTGCCTCCTTTAACGGCTTTTGAGCCAACTAGGACATCCAGCCCATTTGCTCGACGTTACCATAACAAGGTTACTCTATAGCTCCTACACTGGCATGTCCATCCATATGTAAATATAGTAACGAATTTGTGCAACCAGAATGATTTCGCCTGGTTCACCAGAAGGCATCTAAATAGGTAGCAAAAAATAGGGTAGCAGGGAAATGGAATTGTTTATTGTGGCGGTGTAAGGATGCGAACCTTATTGACTAGCAGCTAAGCACAAGATACACGGCGGCAGAAATAGATTCATTTCAGACCAAAAAAATGGAACGCACAAACCGTAATCTGTTCATGTATTAGATGCACTATTGAACATCGGCAACCTGTTACAGCAGTCTAGCGCAAGCAAGATCTTAGTTCGCCGGAGTAAACGTAGGGGCCATTACCGCTATTAGGAGCAAACCAGCTGTTGGGCTTCTTTGGAGAGCCGCAGTGTGGCCTATAGCCTGTCAATGACTTGTACCACAATTCGTGTATCAGCAGCGGCATCTGACATGACACACCAACACTCTGAAGTGGCAGTAGTTCCCTCTCCAATTCGTGTTGACAGCAAGACTCCAACGGTGCAAAGCACTAGTTGAATAGTAAAGTGACTCAAGTGGCATTGGAGTTGAGCGAAACTGGTGGTGGAACAGAAACCACCAAAAATATAGTATAGCATCTGTCGCTGTAGCAGGAACAGTCCTACTACCCCGCGCCGTGCAGTGGACGCTGATACAAGCTCGGCAGTAAATCGTCCGGCGACGGCGGACAGGTGGCCCGAGATTACGGTAGAGAGGCAGAAGTTAGGCTAAATTCCGGAAGGATGTCACGGTCATGTGCGTCCAGTGTGTTCTGGCGGGGAGACTTTGATAAATGTCGATGCGAACGGGCTCTACCACAGACAGAATAGAAAGTTCGTAAACGTGTGTCTATTTGTGTGTAGGTGTTGTGTGTACACCCAGGGCGTCCGATTGCTGTGGGTAAGAGGCGAAATTTTTACCAAATGTTACGGCTTGTTTTCGGGTCATCGTCTGTAACCATCAAAGTGTCCGCCGCTTGCAACAATACTTCTGCTGCTATTTGTGCCGCGCCATCGTTATTGGCGTTGTTGATGTTCTTAGAGCTGTAGGCCTCACCGTTACCGCTAAGCTAATGATGTTGTACGTGAAGTACCTTCTAGCCTTCTGATAGCCTAATCGTCTGCGTTTAGACATGGGTCCGACGCTGAATTTGTTTCGGAGCGAGCGATCCGCTGTTATTGCACCGCTTCTGCGGGTACCATCGCCGTCGAGTGCGAACAGATCATATATATAGTTTTAGTAACGGTGGCCGTTCGTCTCTCCGTACTACTATTTCAGCAATAGTAGAAATTGTGGATGTGATTGTAGCTCTAATCAGCTCAAAGCGCATGCGCCAGGCATTTTGATAGGCCATGGACCTCTCAGGCAACGCGCGTATGTACGACAGTCACAACGACTGCGGGTTAATGCCGCCAATGTCCAGAGCGAGTTTGACAATTGTTTCGTCAGCGGCATGCGTAATGGTGAAGTGCGGTGAAGAGTGCAATGACTCAAGTGGAAGGACGTTCCGTTCGCGAGTGAACTGGACCTATTCAGATGTGCCTTCATCGCTAACAACGCCGGACCCTATCG